ACTTGGGAGCTTTCTTCTAATGCGTCAATAATGAATTCATTGTAGATGGCAAGATTTGTTATTGTGTTTTTCCTGACAGGAATCCATGCTGTTGAGATGTTAAAATTTTGGCATAAGTTTGAGTTAATTATCGTTGATGATTGCCCCGAGTTTGCATAAAGCTGCTATAATCTAAATAGGACTATACTTTGTAACCTCTGCTTTGTCACCTGATTTGTGCAATGTTATGGCAAGATCGTTTCCAAATGCGAGGGTAAGTGCCAAAAGCTAATGATTAAGTGTTTAGGATTCAGATTATTGGCCAGGCTAGACTGGAAGCACATTGCGCCAAGAAACATGATCGAATACCATTTGGACCAGGATTAAAACTAGATTTAAGTGATATTATCTTATTTTTTACTTCGTTAAAACTGATGAAATGTAAATTTATTGTTGATAATATCATGGTTGCAAATGAACTTGAAAAAATTTGCAAAGATTTTGGCAATGTCTTTAGGATTTGAAGCACAAGTGTCTCCAAAATTCATTCATACGTTTGGGAAAATCAGCTTTAGAATTTTGATTTTTAGAATATCATTTTTAAAATTTTATTGTATGTACTTTAAATAAGTAGTTATTGAAATTTTTGTTGATAGCCGTTTTAGAAAGGGTACGCAGATGCTTATAGTAATTAAAGTGCGTTTCAATTGACTTTTTGTGGAGAGAGCTAGAGCTTTACTTCTTTTATTGATAAGTTTGATAGTAATTGAATAATGTTTAAATTTATTTATGCAGGGTGTCAATTTTCTCATAAGGTTGCAACAACAGAACTTTCAAACTTGTTTTTAAGTATTCTTTCTTCTGATACCCGATTTGATGGGGTTCCCCACAACCAAAATTCCTAAAAACGTTTATTCTATTTTTAATTAATTTTTTTAATGCCGATCCTCTGAAAGGAAAAGTTCCGAGCTGAATTTAGAATTAAATTTTTACCAAACTTTTTTGGCTTTTACGACGCCATTTAAGGAGTTGTCTTTTTTTTTCTTTTTTGTGTGTTCCTAAGTTGTAATATCTCGGAAGCCTGTTTTGCTGGAGTATTATATTGATTATTTCCCTCCTTATTTATTATTACCCTTAATTCGTTTATTGCATTTACTTAATCTTTTATTTACTCTTTTATTTTTAATTTTAGTTACTAAACATCCGTTTCTACCTCCTTTGATATTGAATATTGTAATCTTTTTAATTTTTGAAGAAATTTCAAACTACAGATTACAAAGTGAGTCGTACATACAACACAAAACTTAATACTATTTTAATAAATTCAAATTCTTCAGATCACTGTGCAAAGTACTAACTAATATCGTCATAAACTCTATGTTGCTAATATTCAAGCTCAATTTTCTACTGATCTGAAAAACTTTTGATCTTATGTAGGTACAACAAAAGAAGGCCACTCGAGAATCCCAATTTCTATGAAATGTGAAAATTCTGAAATCCCAGTAGCCCATTTCAATTCACTGGTCAGGAAATATCGAACTCTCGAAACCTGCCATATGTATATCTGAAGGCAAAATTTGTGCTGAAAATCTTTAAGGAAACTTTCATGTCTGGTAATGATACGATACCACGTTTAATGCTAAAAAATTGTGCATACGTTTTCGCTAAACCTTCATTTTATATCTTTATTCTAATACTGACTTCATCTACTTTTTCCTGATGTGTGGAAGAAGACATCAATTCCCTTCTCCCTTCTTGTATCTATATCGGGCATATTATCCCTTCACTCCACTGTTTTGGTATGTTTTCACCCATCCACACCTCGTTCATAATTTCTGTTTTTCTGCGGATAACATTATCAGGTGCCTTTAGACATGCTTCATTTGGAATCCCATCTTTCCCCGCTGTCTATTCCCTTTTTAATTTCTTTAGTTGTTTTCTTACTTCTTCCTCTGTCATTGGCTCTACTTTGTAATTGTCGTCGTTTTCTTTTATTTTAGTCGTTTTGTGTTTTTCTGTATTCTCTACTCTTTTATTATTCGCTCACACTTAATCCATGAAATTTTTCTCATATTTCCCATTTTTGTTAGTGTACTTGCATACTTCTTTTTCTGATTTAATTTTCTTTATCTTATGTACTCTTGGTTAGCTCTTGGTTTTCTATTTTCTTAATGCCTTTCTTATTTCTCTTTTTTCGTCCTCCACTTCTACTTACACTAAATTCTACCTTCATTACATCTTTTATAAGTTGTTCCAATTAATCCCATTTTGCTTGTGTATTAGCTTCAACGAAAGTCTGCGCTAATCTTATTCTCACATATTTTCCAACTTTCTCCTCATCTTTTTCTTGTTTTCTGTCATATTCTTCTATTTCAACCTCCAATGGCATATGTTCGGAGTCTTTCTCCCGCTTTGGACTGCGAAATTCCTTCTCATGGTTTTTCGTTCACTATTAAATCATCCATTATTACCGATTGTTTTCTCGGTCCTACATAGATTAATTCACCTTCATCATCGCCAGTTTTGTTTCCATTCAAGATCTCTCATCCTCTCTTTTCGACTAATTCCAACACTTGGTTTCCTTTCTTATTTTCACTTTTATCTTTGGATCTTCCTTTTCCATCATCTTCTGTATTGACAATTCTTCCTTTTTACTTCCCGAGCGTAAGCAAAGGAAGTATTGTAATCGAGTCCGTCGGCCGACTCTCTACTTTTACGTTTTCTCAATCTTTCATGACCCCTAGACGACGAAGAAATAGGTCTCCCGTTTCCGCCCGCTGTCTGTTTGTTCGTCTGTCCGTCTGTCCGTCTGTCTGCCGTCCCGGATTTTTATTAGACAGATAATCTCCGAAAGTACTGGGCCGATTGTTGTCAAATTTCGTATTTATATTAGCTATATCATGTAGATGGTAAAACGCTAACCAAAATTTGTCTAATCATCCCCACCACTAATGTGATGACGTCACTTCAAAATTGTACATAATAATTGGGTTTTAAATTGTATCAAATAGCACAGTCTTACACATGTAGTTTATAACTCCCAATTGAGATTTTACCCGAAACGTCGAGAAAAAAAAAATCAAAATTAGGAAACAACATTTTGACATTTAATTTGGAATCTATAAAACCGAATGCTTTGATAAGTTGCAGATGGTTTACAGTTATGATAAGCATGATATAATTTCACAATATATTTAGTTATCCCCTCCAAAAAATTGACGACGTCACCCTGAATAAATCGTACCTAAAATGTACAAAATATGATGAGTCTCTTCTTGTGATTTATCATTCCATTCATATTTTTTGGATTTGCGTATACAGGTGACCCAAAAAATTAATGAATGGGTAAATTTATTTTATTGATTTAATCAGGAACTACAGAATCGAATGCTTTGAAATCTTGCAAATGTTTTAAGGTTATAAAGAGCATAATAAATTTATCATCCCCACCAACAATTTGATGACGTGATTTGCATGAATTGTATTTTAAAATGATTTGAATGTTACACAAAAGTATACTCCTATAGTCGTAGTGTACGAATCCGTTTTCGGTTTTTTCTCTAAACGTTCAAATTTTCTCAAAAACATTTGCAAGGTATAACAACGTTTTATTCCCAACACGTATTGTTCGATTGTGGCTTAATTAATAATTTTAGTCATTCTCATTCATATGAAACAAATTTCTTCGTGACATTCTTTCGATGTATAAATATAAACAATCGAAGTTGTACATGCTTAACTATAAGATAATAATACACTGTTTTCCATTGGTTATTTGCTTTGAATATATTTCATGTTGTCTATATATCTGTACCTCCTTGGAATTTGCATCCCCGCGGTGCAGGGGGTTCGAGGTGTTATTAACGAAGTTCTGTCGAAGTAACCTTGGACCAATTTTTTCCTTTCTTGTTTTACCCCCATTAGTATTCCCCTTTAGCTCTTCTTTTCTTCTTTTCTTTTTCTACCCCCTGACATATCCAATTAAATTCCCTTGACATTTTCTCTTTAGTATTTTCCTTTTCGTTTGCCTTTTTCTCCTCTTCTAGTTTTTTGACCCTATATGACTACAACAGGGCATGCTTCTGCCTATCTTTAAATTTTCTTCTTTTGGTCTTTTCTTTTTCCTTATAATTTTTGTAATCTTCATTTCATTCTGCATTTATATTCTTATCTCATATCCTTCTTATTTCCATTATTATATTATGTGTACATTTGTACTTCTATTGTAACCAAAACTTTTTTGAATTTATTTTGAATGTGCATTTTAGTCTCGTTTGTTTCTTCGTGTATTCCATGTATGTATATTCTTCTTTCTTATCTTTCTTTCGGGTATTTCTATTTTCTCTTCTTGCCGGTTTACTTTTTCTTGAACTGTTGAATGTGTTATCACTTAGTTTTATATTTTTTAGTTTTGATAACCAGGACCGAACTTCAAGATAGATATATCTTATTTTTTTAACTCCTGGTGTTACGTTGCCTAATTATTTCAGTTTTATGTTTTTTTTTAACAAAAAATACTTGTAAAGCCTAAACATGACATGTAAACAAAGAATTATAAAAGCATGGTCAATTTTAGAATTTTTTGTTGATCATTCGGTGTACGATAACATGATAAGGTTATGGCAGCCCATAAAAACCAAAAATCTATAAAATTGTATGATGATTTAATGATTAGGGAACACACATTAAAATTTATTTATTTGTCCCTTCTAGAAAGCTGATGACGTTATCTCAAAAATTTATTAAATTAACATTTATTCAAAAGTATTCCTAGAATATTCTCGAAGTCTCACCTGTTTATCAGATGTTACGTAATTATAGTTTAATCTGAAATTAAATAATTTTCGTTTAAATTCCTCACAGTAAATTAGGAAATGTTGAATAATAAGGATAATAATAACACTGTTAACAACATTACACATGATTTAACTTCAATGCACAACATATTTGGTAGAGATCAAGGACACTGTACTCAATACTTGTTTCTCGCACCGTGATTCATTGTGGTTGAACTTGAAACATAATTAGTTCTATCAAAAGAAATATGTCTTATAGTGAGCTAAAGTGACAACACAAGAATAAGTTTAACAGTTAAAGTTTTCTCAAATTTGTACAAACTAAAGTTCAAATAAAAACAAATAGTATTACAACAGTGACTAATAAATATAAAACAAATAAAGTAAGTCATCAAATGCAGCAGTATTTCAAGTGTTTTATAAGTGTAACGTAATTTTTTTTATCTTCTGATAGCAGCAAATATATAAAAACAGAAATCCGTCGATAAATCATTTCATAAAAAAATACGGTGATACGATATCTACGGTAGGTTAATTATATGTGAGTACCATAACGTAAAACATTTTATATTTGTTTTAGATGTTCATCATCTACTTAGGTTGCCTTCTCATCCTCCTCTATTACTTCCTCACCAAAGACTATGGTTACTGGCAATCCAAAAACATCCCCTTCGAAAAACCAGTCTTCATCTTTGGCAGTTTCCACAAAATAGTCACCAGAAAACAGCACCTCTTCTACCGAATCCGCGAAATCTACGACACCTACAAAACCCCGCATTTCGGAATTTACATCTTCCACAAACCGGCCCTCGTAATCCGGGATCCAAAACTGCTCAAAAAAGTCTTCGTCAAAGACTTCAACAAGTTCATGAACCGCGAACTCGCCTCCAACGAGAAAGTCGACCCCTTGATGTACCACAGCCTTTTCGGGTCATCAGACCAAGTCTGGAAAAACCTCCGCACCAAGCTTTCCCCCGTTTTCTCGTCGGGAAAAATGAAGTTGATGCTACCCTTGATGAAAGAATGCGCTGCTGACTTGACTGCGTGCATAGAAAAATCCTGTGGGGGAAAAATCGAAGTTAGAGACGTCATGAAACGATATGCTGTGGATAACATTTCGTCGTGTGCTTTCGGCATAAATTCGTACTGTCTCAAAAACGAGAAGTCGGAAATACTGGAGGTTTCCACAAAACTTGTGGATTTTAAATCGTTCGTTAGGAATTTTTCGGTGTTTAGTTTCCTTTTCGCGCCGAAATTCGTTGACATTTTTAGGTTAACTTTCTTGGATAAGGATTCGGCTCGGTATTTGATTAATGTGTTTAAAGAGACTATCAGGGAGCGTGAGAAGAAACAGATTTTGCGGAATGATCTCATAGATTTGCTCAATAATTTGAAGCAGAACGAAACTTTCAAGGAAGAAGATAAATTTGGTAAGTTTTGAATCGTAAACGTTTGTCTGGTCTTAGTACAAGTGTTACTTGTCACAGACGATTTAAAAATGGCCGCCCAAGCCATACAATTTTTCTCTGCCGGAAACGATACGACGTCTATAACTATATCGTACACCCTGTATGAACTAGCCATAAACAGAGACATACAAGACCGACTACGACAAGAAATTACAGAAATTTTTGACAAGTACGGTGACTTCACTTATGAAGCAATCCAAGACATGACTTATCTTGACATGGTTCTAAATGGTAATATATTTTTTTATCAACTATTATCTTCCATAAATTATTTTTGTAGAGACTTTAAGAAAATATCCTCTGACCAATTATACAGACAGGAGATGCGAAGAAAAATACACGTTTGAAGAAACTGGTTTGACTGTGGATAAAAACATCTGTATATTAATTCCAATTGCCGGACTACACTACGACCCGGAATATTTCCCTAACCCGGAAAAATTTGACCCTGAGAGATTCAGTAGTGAGAATAAGCATAAAATAGTACCCTACACGTTTTTGCCTTTTGGTGAGGGACCAAGAAATTGTATTGGTATGTGCATCAAATGGGTGTGTTTTGTACGTTTATTTTTTTTAATTTAGGACAAAGATTTGCCATTTTGGTCAGCAAAGTTGCTTTGGCTTATAGTCTGAAGAATTTTGTTTTTGATAGAGTGGAGACTACAAAAGTGCCGCTCGAGTTAGATAATGGTTCACCGTTTATATTGAATAAGGGCGGGCTTTATTTGAAGGTTACAAAAGTTTGATTAAAATTAAGTTGTAACTGCTGCAAGGATTGATGAAGGTCTTTGTGTTGAAAAAAGTAACAGAGTTTGTCAGGTATAATAATACATTTTTTGTTAGGGAACACCACTTATGTAATTGTGTTTTTTTAATAGGTTTTCTTATTTTCATTTGTTATTGTTCCTTGAATAAGTTTTTTTAGAAATATTTATCTGCTTTTTCACGTTGATTTGATATTTCCTATCCATAACATGGTACTTTCCCTAAGCATTCTTCCGTAGATTTCCACATTTTTTTTTAAATTGTAGTATTTGTACTTTTTCCATGTTTTGATCGGTAGTGAAATAATATATTCCTGTATTCGTGGTTTATGAATCCGCCTTGATTTTTATCACAATAAATCTGCGAACCTCTCATCTGCTAAGCGAGTGCGCCATCGGTAGGCTACGATTCGATGTGTCTGAAGAACACATCGAATTTTAAACAAAAAAAAGTAAATAAAATCAAGGAAGATTCATAAACCACAAGTACAGGAGTATGTTATTTTAAAAAATTTAAATTTGTCTGTACTAAAGACATTTTGCGTGGACTTCATCAAAATGTAGTTTCGGAGATTATCTGTCTAATAGAAATCGACGGAAGCGTGATACCTATTTTTTCGTACTCTATGGGTTCTAAAACCCAGAGAAAACATAAAAGTAGCCATTCGTCTGAAGAACCCTCTTGCAATACTTCTTTCGCGTATGCTCGGGCAGTAAAAAATAGGCCTTCCATTTCGGTCTATCTGCCGTCTTTTTGGCAACTTTTTCGAAATTGTTGGAGTGATCGTTATGAAACTTTAGATTATTTTAAGAATATTCTGTAGATCATAAAACGGTAATCAAAATGTCTATTGATTCTTCCCTTCCAAAAACTTGATGACGTAATCTGAAAACTTTTCTAAATAAATCCAACTTGAAATGTGTAAGATAATCTAATTTATTAGTTCACGCCTTTTTACTTCCAGCGTAAACTAAGGAAGTATTGTAATCGAGTCCATCTAGCGACTGGTTACTTTTATTTTCTCGTTGGGTCATAACCTATAGAATACTAAATAGGCCTCGGGTTTCAATCTGTCTGTCCGAAACTATGGGACCGATTATTGTCAAATTGTATATATATGTATACTATGTATATCATGTAGATGGTCAAACGCTAAGCAACCTTTGTCTAATCAGTAATCATCCCCACCCACAGTGTGATGACGTCATCTTAAAATTGTACTTAGTAAATGGATTTTAAATTACATAAAATAAGATACTCCTACATGTGTGGTTTATGATTATGAGTACGTGTTGAGTTTTTACCCAAAACATCCAAATTTTTAGAAAAAAATCAAAATCGTATAACAACAATTTGCAATTTAATTTTGAAGCTGCAAAATAAAATGTTCTGAAATTTTGCAGACGTTTTAAAACTGTCGGAAACACGGTAAATTTTTAACCACATAGATCTGTTTATTCCCCTCAAAAAATAAATGACGTCATTACAAAATTTTGCCTACGACATCAAACTGTGCAAAATATGATGCGTGTATACTTGTGATTTATCATTGCCTTCATATTTTTAAAATTGCTAATACAGGGTGACTCAAAAAAATTAAAGTATGATTGCATTTATTTATGGATTAGATCAGGACCTGCAAAATACGGTACTTTGAAATGTGGCAGACGTTTCAAAGTTATCGCAAGCATCGTAAATTTTTATTCAAAATATACTAACCGACATTGAAAACCGAACACCAAGAACAAGTTGGAATTTTATAATGATTTTAACACCACATATTTACAGAGGATCGGTGACCAATCGATGAAAAGTTCAAGTTAAAAAATCAAAGAAGAACCAAGTGTTTAGTAATAATGGGTTTGACCACCTTTAATACGTATGCACTCATTGACTCGTCTTGGCATGGATCTGATAAGATGATCTTTATCCGGCTGAGGTACCGCATCCCATGCGAGTAAAGCTTCTAGGGTCTGTGGAGGATGCATTAACTTTGTGAACTCTTACCCCAGACATGCAGATTTTTAGAAAAAAACTTAAAATTATATAACAATATTTATACTCCTGAACCTGCGATTTATGACTTCGTGTTCAGTTTTCACCCTTGATATTCAACTTTTTGGAAAAAAAATCAAAAATGTATAGCAAGATTTTACGATTTAACTTTGAAATTGAAAATTTTCATTAACCTCATTCTGACCCGATAAAATAAGTCACTGAAATGGCGGCAGGGTGGGTGGGCGGGGCTAATTATGTTCTTGTATCGAGTGGGAGTGGAAACTAATAGAATCTAGGATGTGAAAAAAGTCAAAAAAACCCTAATTGTAACTTTTTTTCTTATACCAAGTATTTGCTATAAAATTTGTAGTGCAAAAATCAGTCTCATCTTATCAAATACTAGCCCCGCCCACCCACCCTTTATTTTCTCAGGGAGTATATCATTTGCCAAAGACAGTCTTATCTTAGCAAATACGTGCCCCGCCCACAAGCCATCTGTTTTTTAGAGGGCATGTCATTTGCCAAAATCAGTCTTATCTTATCAAATACTAAACCCGCCCACCCGCCCTCTATTTTCTTAGTGGCTAATGATTTGCCAAATCAGTCTTATCTTATCAATTACTAGCCCCGCCCACCCACCCTCTATCTTCTTTGAGGCTAGTGATTTGCCAAATCAGTCTTATTTTAGCAAGTAGTAGCCCCACCCACCCACCCTCTATTTTCTTAGAAGGTATGTCAATTGTCAAAATCAGTCTTATTTTATATGAAATACTGGACCCGCCCACCCGCCCTCTATTATATGTGTATTACAACATGGAAAGCCAAAATAAAATGCAATGAAGTATTAAGCTTGTAGGTTTTTGGCAAAAATGCTCAATTTTAATAATTTAACTTCAAACCTACAAAATCGAACATGACAAATCGCTAATCGGTGTGAGTAGACTCCCCCCCATGTTGAAAATTACAACCTGGGTTATGTGTCTGGAAAATGGTCGATTAAGTATGCAGTACGTTATGTACGGCAGTTTTGGAAGTCCCAAAAAAATAACAAAAAAAATTCTTTATGATGTAGATTACAAAAAAAAACCTAATTTTATAACAATAGCAACCAGTAGTCATGCATCGTTGTGCATTATTATTAATAAAACAAGCTGTTATTTTTCATTGATAAGTAAACAAAAAAAACATTTAGTAAGACATTTATAAATTACTAGCTTTTCGCTCGCGTAGACGATTCGTTGTGTTGAAGAGCATTATTATCAACCTTCAAGTAAAAAATGTGTTGAAGGACATTTATACAATTCCCAGTAAAAATCGACATAAAAAATGTTTGCTCGTAAAAACTTTGTCACACCTTTCATCTTCTTAGGGGTGAAATCTCGAAATAATCTGAAATACGGGTTTCATTATTTGTGTTCAAGAGTATTAATACCAAGTTTCACGTAGAAATTTAAATTTACAAATATTTTTCCCATACAATTTTAGCCACTACTTTTCACCCCCTTTGGGGTTGAATTTCGGAAAATGCTTAAATACGTGTTTCATTATTTGTGTTGCAGACAATTAATGCCAAGTTTCACGTAAAAATTTAAATTTACAATAGAAATATTCCCACACAAAGCTAGCCACCATATTTCACCCCCTTAGGGGTTGAATCTGGAAAAATGCTTAAATACGTGTTTTATTATTTGTGCTGAAGAGCATTCATACCAAGTTTTAAGTAAACATTACCATAAAAATATTTTTCTCATACAAACTTAGCCACACCCGTTTTACCCCCTTCGGCGTTGAATCTCTGAAAATATTTAAATACGTGTTTCATTATTTGTGTTGAAGAGCATTAATTTAATATCAAGTTTCACGCAAAAATTTAAATTTACAATAGAAATACTTTTCCTATACAAACTTAGCCAGTACTTTTCACCCCCTTAGGGGCTAAATCTCGGAAAATGGTTAATTACGTGTTCCACTATGCATCAATATTAAATTCCATGTCAAAATTTACAATAGAAATAATTTTCCGATATAAAGTTAGCCCCCACTTTTCTCCCCTTAGGGGTTGAATCTCGGAAAATGTTCAAATACGTGTTTCATTACTTGTGTTGAAGAGCATTATTACCAAGTTTCACGTAAAAATGTAAATATACAGTAGAAATATTTTCCCATACAAACTTAGCCTCCACATTTCATCCTCTTAGGGGTCGAATTTTAGAAAATGCTTAAACACCAGTTTCATTATTTATGTTGAAGAACATTAATACCAAGTTTCACGTAAAAATTTCAATTTATAGTAGAAATATTGTTCCTATACAAACTTAGCCGCCCAAACTTAGACACCACTTTTCACCCCCTTTGGGGTCGAATCTCGGAAAATGTTTAAATACGTGTTTCATTATTTGTGTCGAAGAGCAGTAATACCAAGTTCCACTTAAAAATTTAAATATGCAATAGAACTATTTTCCCATACAAACTTAGCTTCTACATTTCACCCTCTTAGGGGTTGAATTTTAGAAAATGCTTAAAGACGGATTTCATTATTTGTATTGAAGAACATTAATACCAAGTTTCACGAAAACTTTCAATTTACAGTAGAAATATTGTTCCTATACAAATTTAGCCGCCCAAACTTAGATACCACTTTTCACCCCCTTAGGGGTCGAATCTCCGAAAATGCTTAAATATGTATTTCCTTATTTGTATTGAAGAGAATTAAAATGTACCAGATTTCACGTGACGATCTAAATTTACAGTAGATACATTGGTCCTTTACAAATTTTATCACCCCTCTTTAACCCCCTTAGGGGACGAATTTCGAGAAATCCCTTCTTAAACGATGCCTCCAGTATAAAATGAACATTCTCTCCAAATTTCAACTTTCTATCATTAGCGGTTTGGGCTGGGCGTTGATAGGTCAGTCGGGACATTGCCTTTTATATATAAAGACAAACAAAAACAAAACCAACAAAAGAAAAATCCCTAACCAACTAAACACTACAGATGATGTTCAAAATTCCTGCTTTGTCCATATAGGAAAGCTAGTAATGTTTCAAAAATGTTTATCATTTTTTGTTAAAGTTAGTCATCAGTACTTGCTAAGATAAAATTGATTTTGGCAAATGACATATCCTGTAAGGAAAGAGAGGGTGGGTGGGCGGTACTAGTAGTTGCTAAGATAAGACTAATTTTG